CTGGAGTAAGCTGATGACAAAGCAGGAAAGTTGGAGGTGGAGAGAGAAATTGGGACATTTTAGAAACAGGTGAAAAGTGAGACAATAGAAGTTAATCTGGGCTGTCCCTGCAAAACCTAGACAATTAGAGAATATGGAAAGCTTGCTTTCCTCTGGACAATGTCCCTATATGATGGGGTGAGTAACCTCTGAAGGGGGGGATTTTTTACTCCTGCATCCACTCCAGGACACACTGGAATAGGCTGAATTTGGGGCTGAATTTTAATGGCAGTTGGCAGTATTCAGTGAGTTGAAGGCTGTAGGAGCAAAACCACTGCAGTTTGTGGCAATTCTTAGCTGGTTTGGGTCCAAAAATGTCTTTATTTTTAATTTGTGGGGGCTCAGATGACCTGCACTTTCTCCACTCCTGATATATATGTGCTTGGACATCCCTATCTATTGCATTTATATTTCCCATCTACACTAAAACATTTTAGATCTGCTGTACATCTGATAACATAATTTGTGGAATCAACTTGAATGGCAAAGCTATTATTCAGGGATCCGCTGGATGTAGCTGTGAAATAATTCAAGAACATGGGCTCTCCTGATCATGAATGCCTCTGGTTGGATTGGCAAAGAAAACAGAAGCATGGACAAGGAAGGATGATCAGACATGTGGTATGGAGACAAGAGATAGGGCTGGAAAAGCATTTACAGAATTGGGCAGAGAATAGAAAAGTCACAGTGCCAGAAGAAAATGGAAGTGAAATGGCTTTACTTTCAGCATCGGGGGGGGGCACTTCCCTCACACCAATGGAGGAGAGTTTTCCAGCTGTTGACAAGGTGTAGCTGACAGAACTTCCAGTCTTTCTTGACAGCCAACAAAGCATGGAAAGCACTCAGTCGTGGAACACGTGTGTGGATCTCTGTGTCTGCGCTGTGTGTGTGATGCTCTATAGATTAACACAGGGCTTTCAAAACGTTTTCATCTTCCCAACTGGAATTCTTGAGGTTAGTTACTTTCTTACTGCAACTGTCCTCTCATCATATAACAATGGATCCTTAAGGCAATGAGTAGAACAGCTGGAAAAGACAGGAACATCAGTTCCCAACATCAGAAGCACCATGGGGGATATCTGCCACATCTTTCTCTTAAGCGGTAAGCCCTCTTGTTGTTGTGCTGGAGCCAGATCTGACATCATGGCTTGCAGATGTTGCCTGAAGAGGCAAGCCCACAAGCTTGATTGAGGGCAGTGCTTTTATTCACATATTACAAATTGCTTCTATATCATTTCATTGGAAGAACAACAGAAACAGCTCCAAGATAGATCTTTGGAGATCTGAAAGAACTTTTTTAAAATGGGAACACAGAACACATGCTGTCATGTTTCACGATTACTCTATACCATCCGACCCAGAGAGTGCAGCAGTTGAGATTGGAATGCAAAATGCAACACTGTCATTTTGCCCAAACCTGGCATCCAATCCCCCAAACAAATCTCCCCATCCCTGTCTGTAAAAATAAAAATAAATTAATTTGCTGTCCTTTTGTCCCATGCCAAAATCTTCTGCCATCCAGAGCAACCACTTCACCCTATCAACTGCAAGGGCTGGCTCTAGTACATGATGCTGAAAGGTAGTTCCCTTCAGGTGCTGTTGGACTGCAGCTCCCATGATCCCTTGCCTTTGGCTATGCTGGCCAGGCCTGATGGGACATGCAGTCCAATGATATCTGGAAGACCACACATTGCTTCACTCCTGATGCAAGAAGAACCCCCTTTTTTGTCCAGTGAACATCACAGGGATGGCTGACTGCTAGCATCAGGCATGTATCCTGAGACATCAAATCCGATCCCGGTCCTTGGGTGTCCTTCTCTCTATCAGAGGCAGACATGGCCTCCTCCTTTCCTGTGAGGGAGATCTCCTTTGAACTGCACCCACACAGGAGAGTCAGGAAGGAGGAAGAGAGAGAAGATGATGAATGGCTTGACAAATTATAAACACAGGGGCATTCTTCATCTTTTGGGCAAGACTCTAGCATCGTATTTCACCTCTATCATCTTTTGGGATCCTGCTGACAGCTGAAGGATTCCAGGATAAAGATGCTCATGGTATGAGCTGCTGGGAGCTAGCCAGGTTGGTCATAAATATTATGGAAAATATCAGCACTGCAGAGGGTGGGATGGTACAATCCATAATAACAACGAGCCAAAGGAGCCACTGTGTCTGGTCATCAGTTATTCTTGCTCTGTGTGGTCATCAGAGTTTGGAAATAAGTAGGTAGAAATAACAAGTTATACGATATTAGTTTCTTTTTTGGAATAACTAAAAAATAACTAATGCTTGGATTCTCTTGATGATTTACACTTGTGTAACAAAGAATTACACAAAGGTTGGTACATTTTCAGCCACTGTGCAAGAAGGTAACTAGTACCTCCCTGTGAAATGCTTTTTCTCAAGCTCTGCAACTAGATGGAAACCAAATAGAGCTCCATGCCATCTCTAACCAAGCCACCATTGTTGGGCCACTGTGGATGTCAGGGAACGCTCTCTCTGTGTGATGTGTTACCTTACCACTGTACTGAAAGATAACATCAGTCTTTTTGTGGTGCAACTGTAACTATTTTAATTACCTTCACAATTACAGGGCAAACTCACTGATTAGGTGTGTTCTGTTTCCCAAACCAGTGGCTTGTAGCATTCTGACTTTTTTTAAAAAAAGAACCTAACAGTAGCAATTTTAACAACTTTATTTACATAAGGTGAAAGTAAAAAAGCTAATTTGTTTTTTTAAATGGCAAAATTAATTTACATTTTGGTCTCAGGATGCTAACAAATTACTTATTAATATAACTTCCCAAAATTTGGGAGTTCCTGTCCTTCACTTTGTGAAAATGGGACTTTCTGAGACAGGCCCCGGGTTACAATTTTTTATCCATATCCACATGTATACATAACTTCAAACTACATAATTTCAACCTAGGCAATGAAGAAATCAAAATAGTTAAAGAGTTCCCATGCCTTGGATCAAACATTGATCAGAATGGAGACTGCAGTCAAGAAATCAGAAGACTAGAGAGCTTATTGTACACCCAAATAAGCCAGCTTACCTTTGCCGACTTCAATTTTCTTCTGGTACACCCCCAGATGTTATTGTATCTAAATCGCTGCTGATTTAGCCATGATGCTGCTGGCCAAATACAGCTGGGTCAGACTTGGGACAAAGCCGTGTTCAGCAGCCACATTTTAAAAGTCAAAAACTTCTGACTTCAAAAAAGTGCCATCTGAGTGCAGCTTTTGCCCGAGTTGCATCATGCAGCTGACCTGGCCCATTGCATCATGGCTAAATCAATAGTGATTTACTTATGATAACATCCGGGGGTATCCTGGAAGAAGATTGAAGCTGGCAAAGGTAAGCTGGCTTATTTGGCCATGTGTTAAACTCCTAGGACTAGGAAGGGCAGCCATGAAAGAATAAACAAGATCCTAAAGTGTAAAGAGATACAACTAAGCACTAAAGTTAGAATCATCCA